AGAGGTGGTGAGTTCTACTCCGACCTCTTGGCAGCCTACTGTGCGGAGCACGGCATCCGCCAGACGTTCACGCTTCCCGCCTCTCCACAACAAAATGGGGTTGCTGAGCGCCGCATTGGCTTGATCATGGAGGTCGCTCGTACCTCCTTGATCCATGCAGCTGCCCCCCACTTTCTGTGGCCGTTTGCGGTCCGATACGCTGCGCATTAGCTCAACCTCTGGCCCCGTGTCTCCATCTTGGAGACTTCCGCGACACTGCGTTGGACGGGAGAGGTTGGCGATGCGTCGCGTTTCAGGGTCTGGGGATCTCGGGCTTTTGTTTGCGATACGTCTGCGGACAAGCTCTCCTCCCGTGCTGTTCCGTGTGTCTTCCTCGGCTTTGTCCTGGACGCGTCTGGTTGGCAGTTTTACCACGCCGCCTCGCGCCGTGTCCTCGCCTCTCAGGACGTCACCTTTGACGAGTCGGTACCCTTCTACCACCTCTTCCCCTACCGGACTGCCCCGCTCCCTCCCCCGCCTCTCTTCCTCGCGCTAGGTGCTACTGCAATAGACCCCCTCCCCCCTCAAGGTGCCGCTCCCTCAGGTGTGTCCCAAGTAGACCCGGTTGAGCCTGTCGAGGTAGCTGTTGAATCTCGTCCTCCTCGGGGTGCTGAGCCTGAGTGTGCTGAGCCTGGGGGTGCTGAGTCTAGGGGTGCTGAGCCAGGGGGTGCTGAGCCTGGGGGTGCGGTGTCTGTGGGTGCTAAGCCTGGGCGTACGGAGCCTGGGGGTGTTGATCCTGGGAGTGCTACGCCCGGAGGAGCTCTCTCCTCCCAGCAGCTGCGTGAGTGGTACTTACAGTACTGCAGCCTCAGGCGGGGTGCTGCTGGAGCTGGTGCTCGTGCTTCCTCGCCCAGGCGGGAGCTGCCCTCTCCCCAGCGTCTTCGTGAGTGGTACGCACGGCGTTGCAGTCTCAAGAGTGGCGCTCCTAATGTCGCGGACCCTGCTACTGGTGCTGCGGACCCGGGCGTTGGAGCTGCTGCTTGTTGGTGCAACCCTACGGTTTGCACTCGGCTTGTTGTCTGTGTGCGTGCATGTGTGTGTGTATGGAATGGTATGAGGGCATGGGATAATATATATTTCATGCTTTTAATTGTGTGTGAATGTTGAGTCATGATGTCGAGTGTGTGTGTCGAGTCAATAGCGAGATATCGCTAGACGCGTGTTACGCGGTCGTTTGTGTCTCGCGCGCCGTTTCTATTTTGTCCTGTGTCGAACGTTCGGCGTGTCGCAGGTGTGTGCAGAAGACTCATCAAGAACTCAAGGATGAGTTTGTGATGAAGAGCCCGAGCCTTTGTATCAAGCCTTGAGTGATTTCGAAGCTCGCCAAAAGGGTGCACCTCAAGATATTGAAGATAGTTACATTACTTTGTGTAGTGTAACATGTCACTTGGTGTAGGCCCTAGTGAATGGTAGTTTCGAGACCCTTCGTAGTTGGGGACAGTGTGGCACTGTTCCACATCACTGTACCTCGGCTCTTGGGGTTTGTAGGAGCTGGGAGTCATTCCCAACTCGTAACTCTTCCTAACTCTTCCTATCTTGTTTTCTAGGACTATGTGGCTGCCATATTGCCGTTCGTTCAAACCAACGTTGTGTCGTCAATACTTGGTCAAATCGTGCGATCTAAATTGCCAATTGTAGGCAACAATAAGATGCTCGAGATCCAAGTTGAATCAAGTCGTTTGAAGCTTTGACCGGAAGGATTTGAACGTTTGAAGCCGCTGTGCAGAAATCCGACTGTGCACTCTATCTTTCGTTTTAGGCACATTGGAGCCTACTGTGACTATAACAGTGCTGGTGTTGCGGACCCGGTCCTTGGAGCTGCTGCTGGTGCTGCGGACCAGGGCGTTAGAGCTGCTGCTGGTGCTGCGGACCCGGGCGTTGGAGGTGCTGCTAGTGCTGCGGACCCGGGCGTTGGAGGTGCTGCTTGTGCTGCGGACCCGGGCGTTGGAGGTGCTGCTGGTACTGCAGATCCGGGCATTGGAGCTAATGCTGGTGCTGCGGACCCGGGTGTTGGAGCTGCTACTGGTGCTGTAGACCCGGGCGTTGGAGCTGCTGCTGGTGCTGCAGACCCAGGCGTTGGAGGTACTCGGGGTGCTGTTGGAGCTGCTGGAGGTTCTGGTGCTGTCTCTTCTGCTGCAGGGGGCACCTCACGGCCGCGGCCGTACTTTGTTCCACTCCTTCAGCAGGTTCTTGGTCAGTCACCTCCGCCTTGTCCCCCTCCCTCTATAGAGTGTCCGCCGCCAGTCAAGTCGGAGTCACACAGCCACCGCCAGCTTCGCCACTTCCTTGTCCTTCTCCTTACACTGGTCCTACAGGCGGTCTCACAGAGCATCGTCAGCCTGAGTCTCGCCCCGTGTTGCCTGTATCCTGTCCCCAGTCCCCTGTTTGTACTACCTCCACCAGTCGCCGTACTCCGCGTGAGTGTCCGCCACCAGTCCCTTGCACATACCGGATGTCACTGCGTCCCTCCAGTGCTCCACAGCGTGTCCCTCTGCCGTCTCCTCCTGAGTCCTCTCTTCCTACTCTTACTGACCCTGAGTCCGACTCTCTTCGTGTTGCCAGTCCTACTGTCACGCGTCTCCTGGCCACTTCTGTCACTGACCCTTCATTTGAGTCTACTGCTGCGTCTACCCTAGTTGCTGAGCTTGTCGACTTTGCTGCTCGCTGTCGTCTAGACTACGCTGCCATTCTTGTCCCTGAGTCTGAGTTTGTCTATCCTCCGTTTGTCGGGGGTGAGTGTGCTCTTAGCAAGAACGTCTTCGAGGACAGACAGGAGGATCTTGAGTGTCTTGCAGCGGCTGCGCCACATCTCGTGTCCATGCTAGTTGCCCCTGAGGGAGACCCGGATGCACCAGACATCCTGACTCCTCGATCGTACGCTGAGGTGATCGAAGGTCCCTACTCCTCACAGTGGCAGTCAACCATGGACGCAAAGATGGCTTCCTGGAAGTCCACTGGCACCTACGCCGACGAGGTTCCCCCACCTGGGGCGAACATCGTCAGTGGCATGTGGATTTTCAGGGTGAAGCGGCCGCCGGGTTCTCCGCCTGTCTTCAAGGCTCGCTACGTTGCTCGAGGCTACAGTCAGCAAGAGGGAGTAGACTTCTTTTAGATCTTCTCCCCCACCCCGAAGATGACCACTCTTTGGGTACTACTGCACGTTGCTGCTTAGCGTGACTACGAGCTTCACTCACTTTACTTCAGCACAACTTTCTTGCAGAGCAGTCTGCACGAGGAGATCTGGCTGCCCCGCCCTCCTGGCTTCACTGGGTTGTTCCCTCCTGGTACCCAGTGGAGCCTCCGGCGGCCGGTCTACGGTCTCCGCCAGGCGCCACGTGAGTGGCACGACACACTGAGGACTACTCTTGCGGCACTTGGGTTCTCTCCTTCTACTGCTGACTCGTCGCTGTTTCTACGCACCGACACTTCGCTGCCGTCGTTCTACATCCTCGTGTACGTTGACGACTTGGTCTTTGCCACAGCTGACACTGAGTCTCTCGCCCACGTGAAGTTGGAGCTACAGAAGAGACACACATGCACAGACCTGGGTGAACTGCGCAGCTACCTTGGCTTGCAGATCACCCGGGACTGAGCACGCCGCACCATTACCCTGACTCAGTCACACATGGTGCAGCAGGTCCTTCAGCGCTTCGGCTTCACCTGGTCCTCAGCACAGGCCACTCCTCTGGCTATAGGTCACTCGCTCTCAGCTCTGCCTTTGGATGAGTCCGTATAGTCGAGTGGTTCTTACCCAGAGCTGGTTGGTTGGCTCATGTACCTGATGACTTGCACTCGTCCTGACCTAGCATACCCTCTTGGCCTTCTGGCTCGCTACGTGGCTCCTGGTCGTCACCGAAAGGTGCACTAGGATTGTGCAAAGAGGGTATTGCGCTACTTGTGTAGTACATCACGCATGGGGCTAGTGCTTGGAGGGCGACGTCGAGTGGTCCTCACAGGTCACGCAGACGCTTCTTGGGCTGACGACCAGGCTACTCAACGGTCGTCACAGGGTTACACCTTCAGCCTTGGCTCTGGTTCAGTTTCGTGGCGCTCTACTCGTTCGTCTTCGGTTCTCAGCTCCAGTTGTGAGGCTGAGATTTACGCCACAACCATGGCTGCACAGGAGTTACGCTGGCTCACCTACCTGCTGACCGACCTTGGAGAGCGGCCTTGTTCTCCTCCAGTGCTGTACGTCGACAGCAAGGCTGCCTTTGCCTTGTGTTAGGAGCATAGATTGGAGCACAAAACGAAGCACATCGCTCTCCGTTACTTCCTTACTTGTGAGTTGCAGCAGCGTGGTCAGCTTCGTCTGCGCTACGTGGCCTCTCAGGCCAACACCGCTGATGTTTTCACTAAGGCACTTGAGCCTGGTGATCATCAGCGCTTCTGTACTTTGTTGGGGCTAGTGCCCACATTGTCTCACTTGTTGTAGGCTTTGCCTGTACTGTGAGCTCTATATATATACTTGTGCCTGCTTGTTTTGCTAGGTTGAGATTACCCTTGATGTATGTACTACTTTTATATACCTCTTCACGTGAACTGGCCTTGTGGCCCTTTGCTTGTGCTCGGATTGTGTGGTGACGTTGTGATCCACCCTGAGCTTGCTTGCCTTTCTTGATTGGTCTTGTGACCCCTTGTTCTCCCCCACTTTGCCTATGGGGGTGTGTCAAACACTATATGTGTTATTATTGTGTAGGCTATAGTGGGTTAGCCTTTAAGGGGTACACAAAGTTAGGATTTCCTACTTGTACTCCAACTTTCATAGTTCAATCACTTCTTCGTAACAGCATGAGGATCTGGTCCCTCAACAGGATATCGCCGAGTGACGTGTGCAGGACTACGTTGGATACGTTACCGTTGTTCTTCATCGTTTGATACTTCCGCTTCTGAGGCACAGTAGGGGAAGCATGGTTGGACGTCGGGCGTTCCAGCATTTCGCGTTCGGGTGTGGCGAGATCAGCTCACTGCGACGTTGGTGCTGATCGTGGCGTTCCATTGGTGCTTGGAGACCCCGAGGCAGGATCCACCGCACCCCTCTCCAGGGAGCAAGACCTGTTGTTAAGTTTCAACAAAAGGGACGAAATCAGCAGTGATTGCTCCTGTGTGGTTCGCTCCAACTCAGCAAGCCGCCCGTTAGCAACCTGGTTAGATGCCTCGACAACACCCTCCAGTGGGCTCCCAGCAGGACTTTGAGAGGGAAGCGACGCCCCATCACGCTCGGTGATGTTGTTCAGCATGTCCTGCCGCCCGTCCCCTACGGCACAGGAAATGAGCGTTGCGGTTAAAACTGGGATACAACACAACAGAAGATCTAGAATACAAGCACAACAGAAGATCTGGAATACAAGCACAACAGAAGATCTGGAATACAAGCACAACAGAAGATCTGGAATACAAGCACAACACAAGTTCCAAAAATCAGGTCAAGAAAATTTCAAGAGCTCTTACCTTGCTTTTCCGTCTGCACCTTCGTGCGTTCCTCTTCCTCATCATGCTCATCACTGAAGTCGTCAGCATGGACTTGGACCCCCAAGGGAGCGGCATCACCAGCACCGCTAGACGGGTCAGCTGCGGCAGCAGAGGCGCTGTCAATGCTGGTGTTGCCTGCAACGTCGACGACACCATCGTTGTCATCTACGTGCTCAAAAGCGCCATCCTTGCGCACTTTCGCGATCAGTCGGCCGCCAACGGTGTTGCGCCTCCTGACACCGCCACTCACTTGGGTACCAAGACCCCCAGCTCCCTGCATCTTTGGGGTCAGCTTGATGGGGCGCTTGCCTGTCACCTCGCTACGGACAGCAAGGACGGAGGCCATAGTTCTTGAGGTGGTGAAGACCGTATTAAGAGAGATAGGAACTAGGAGACGGATGGATATGATAATACTGCCCAGCGAGGTGTGACTTGAGTAGTAGTTAAACTAGGCCAATAGACTGAAGCTCCTACAAGCGCAGGTGATTGGCGCCAAAGGGCAGGTGAGCACCACATTTGGGCAGGTGAAAGGCACGGTTGGGCAGGTGAACGGCGACGCTCGGCAGGTGTATTGATGTTCTGCTGGCAGGTGATTGAGAGCCTAGGCAGCTGAAATCGCCACCTGCTACGCGCATTGCTATCCGTTGAGAAAGTCTGGGCATGGAACAAGTTTGACATCTTGTCACTATACGAGCTAATCACAGATCAGAGGAACGTCTGGTGTGTAATCCTCTAGTGTTGGCGCCAAATGTAAACTAAAGTTTGGCGCTAGAGCTTCAGGAGGAGCTGGGAAGTGAGGAAACAAAGCCAAGTCCTCCACTATGCTCTAACTATCAGTAGAGGCGATTGTTTGAGAGTTTGAATTGCCTTAGTTTGAACATTCGAATGAAGAAGATGATGTATGGTCCGCACGATCAGTTGGCAACAACAAATCGTAACCGTCTAAGCTAGTCAAGGGAAAGCTTGTGGGAGTGGAGCAGTTACGAGTCGATTTGTGAGGAGTATAAGGGCGGGATGCATAAATGTTTTTTGCAGTTTTGCAGTCCCGATCCCAAATGATCAATTGGTTTGCTCGGGGGTCACATCTGCAGTTTAGTTTTGCACTCGATCTGGTAATCTAATCGTTTCATCTTCGTTGTATTTTCGCCGCGTTGCTAGTGTCAGGCATATATGCTATAGTCTGTATAGACTTTAGTGGGGCAGTTCATATGGGGTACAACACTTTAGGGTTTACTACTTGTACTCCTCATCCTGCTCAATGAATTCATTCTCGTTCTAAACTTCACATGGTATAGTGCTGGTTCCCTCGTGGGAACTGTTCCTAGGGCCCACCGAACTTTTTTCCTGCCCGTAGCGCGCTTGGCCCCTGCCCGAGTCGCGCCTCGTGTCGTTCCCCATAGTGGCCTCTAGCGGCCCCTCTCACAACCCCTAGTGGCCCTGTCGCGCCGTCCTCACGGCCCCGTCGCGCCGCCCTTGTGGCCCTGTCGCACCGCCCTAGCGGCCCCTCGTGGCCCCTCGCGGCCCCTTAGCGACCACTCGCGGCCCCGTCCCCACCTGCAGACCTTTTCAACGGCCCCGTTGCCGCCCTCTTAGCGGCCCTGTCGCCGCCCTTTCAGCGGCCCCGTCGCCACCCCTTACTACGGCCCCTCCGCCGCCCTTGAGCGGCCCCGTCGCCACCCCTTTCCGCGGCCCCGTTGCCGCCCCTTACTGCGGCCCCGTTGCTGCCCTTCAGCGGCCCCGTAGCCGCCCTTCCGTGGCCCCGTCGCCGCCCTTTCAGCGGCCCCGTCGCCGCCCCCCCCCCCCCCCCCTTCCACGGCCCCATCGCCGCTCTTTCAACCGCCCCGTCGCCACCCTTCCGTGGCCCCATCGCCGCCCTTTCAACGACCCCGTTGCCGCCCTTCCGCGGCCCCGTCGCCGCCCTTTCAGCGGCCCCGTCCCCGCCCTTCAGCGGCCCCATCGCCACCCTTCAGCAGCCCCGTTGCCGCTCCTTAGTAGCAGCGAAGCCGCCTTTCACGGCCCCGCCGAGCCGCCTTCGCTGCCGAGCCGCCAAGCCGCCGACCTGCCGAGCCGCTGCGCCGCCGAGCGACCGAGCCGCTGAGCCGCCGAGCTGCCTATGCTGCCGAGCTGCGGAGCCGCCTTTGCCACCGAGCCGCCGAGCCGCACTGCAGCCGAGGCGGCGCCGCCTGCCGGCCTGCCCAGGATCGCCTCACTTGCCTGGTAAGAGCGGCGCCTCTACCACTGCACTGCCCTGCCCCACTGTACTCACTGCCTGTCTACTGCTAGTGTTCTCATGGCCACCCCTAGTGTTCTCACCTTTGACGCTGAGGGTTGGGCAGTTGACTCTGAGGTCTGGGTAGATGATCTGCAGCTTTTCCTACAGTGCGATACGGCAGACAGTCTCTACCTGTTTGACCTCACTTCTGGTGCCTCTCCTGCCCCTGCTGCTGATGCTGACGCCACTGTTTGCTCACAGTGGGCCACGCGAGATGCTGCTGCTCGCCTTGCTGTGCGCCGCCACTTACCGACCATTGAGCGTGCACACTTTAGCCAGTACAAGAGTGCTAAGACCTTGTACGACGCTGTAGTTGCACGCTACTCTTCCCCTGCCACTGCCGCACTGAGTCGCCTCATGCTACCGTACCTCTTCTCTGACCTTGCGGCCTTTCCCATAGTCCCTGACCTCATTACGCACCTTCCCACTAGTGACACTCGCTACCGCGCTGCGCTTCCTGCGGAGTTCTGCGCCAAGAACCCCCCCCACATGTACATCACCCTCTACTACATAGTCACCCGGCTCCGTGACTCTCTCCACGTAGTCAGTCACCCGTTGAGAAGGGCAGCGCCGGGGCCGAGAAGGGGGCTCGGGGCTTCAAGGGTAGGCGACGGGGCCAGCAGAGGCGAGGCCAGGCCGGGAAGGGCGGCGTCGGGCCAGAAAAGGGCGGCGCCAGGGCCGCGGGGTAGGCGACGGGGCCAGCAGAGGCTGGGCCGGGTTGGGAAGGGTGGCGTCGAGGCCGGGAAAGGGCGGCGCGGGGGCCGCGGGGTAGGCGACGGGGCCGGAGGGCGGCTGATCGGGGCCGAGAATGGCGGCGCCGGGGCCGTAAGGGTAGGCGACGGGGCCAGCAGAGGTGGGGCTGGGTCAGGAAGGGCAGCGTCGGGGCCGGGAAGGGCAGCGCCGGGGCCGCAGGAGTAGGCGACGGGGCCGCTAGGGCGGCGGATCGGGGTAGCGAGGGCGGTGCGACACAACCGCTAGGGCGGCGCAACGGGATGGGGCCGCGAGTGCGACGTGACGGGGCTGCTAGCGCGCCGTGACGGGGCCGCTAAGGCGGCGGGACAGGGTCGAGAGAGGGGAGCGTGACTCGGGCAGGAGCTGAGCGCGCTCCGGGCAGGAAAAAAAAATTCGAATTGGTGGGCCCTAGGAACAGTTCCCACGAGGGAACCTGCTCAATACTATGAGAAAACTAGAACAAGGAATGAATGACTAAGTGAAAGTTGGGTACAAATACAAACCCCTAGAAAGCTGTACCCCATATGTGCTACCCCACTATAGCCTACAATAGCTATGTCATATAAATCTGACAATCTGACCAGGTTGCTAACGGGCAGCTTGCTGAGTTGGAGCGAACCACACAGGAGCAATCACTGCTGATTTCGTCGCTTTTGTTGAAACTTAACAACGGGTCTTGCTCCCTGGAGAGGGGTGCGGTGGGTCCTGCCTCGGGGTCTCCAAGCACCAATGGAACGCCGCGATCAGCACCAACGTCGCAGCGAGCTGATGTCGCCACACTCGAATGCGAAATGCTGCATCGGCCGACGTCCAACCGTGCTTCCCGTGCTGTGCCGCGGAAGCGGAAATATCCAACGATGAAGAACAACGGTAACGTGTGCGACGTAGTCCTGCACACGTCACTCAGCGGTATCCTGTTGAGGGACCAGATCCTCATGCGCCAGTTGCCTGCCTATGGCAAGGCATGGAACGTAAGTGCCATATTGAAAGTGTGGAATGGGAATTGGTGGGTTGTGTTTGTGTGGGTTATGGCTAAGGGGCACTGCTGTTTGTTCATCCCCTCTTCACCCTTTCCTCACGCCCCTCCTTTTCTGGCCTTGTTCTGTTTTAGTCGACTTGTTCTTCTCGCATGGGGCATGGGGCTAGTGCTTGGAGGGCGACGTCGAGTGGTCCTCAGAGGTCTCGGTGACGCTTCTTGGGCTGACGACCAGACTGTGCAGCGGTCGTCACATGGTTACACCTTCAGCCTTGGCTGTCTACCCGCTCGTCTTCTATTCTCAGCTCCAGCTGTGAGGCTGAGATCTACACAGGGGCCATGGCTGTACAGGAGCTATGCTGGCTCACCTACTTTTTGACTAACCTAGGAGAGCCGCCTCGTTCTCCTCCAGTTCTGTACGTAGACAACAAGGCCATGCTGGCCTTGTGTCGAGGGCACAGACTGGAGCACAGAACGAAGCACATTGCTCTTCGCTACTTCTTGGCTCGTGAGCTGCAGCAGCGTGGTCAGCTCCGCCTTGCTTACGTGGCCTCTGAGGCCAACATTGCTGATATCTTCACCAAGGCCCTTCCGCCTTGTGATCATCAGCGCTTCTGTACGATGCTAGGTCTTGTGCCTACCTGGCCTCGCTTGCTCACTTCTTGATCTTGTTTGTACTATACTCTTTCTATACCTGCACTTGCTTGTTTACCTTTATATATATGATCTTGCATGTGAACTGGCCTTGTGGCCTTGCTCTTGTGCTCGGACTGTGTGGTGACTTTGTGATCCACCCTGAGCTTGCTTTGCTTTGCTTGACTGGTCTTGTGACCACTGGTTCTCCCCCACTTTGCCTATGGGGTTGTGTTAGAACATTATCGCTTATACATTTCTGTAGGCAGTAGTGGGGTAGCCCATAAGGGGTACAACCCATTTAGGGTTAGTACTTGTACCCAACTGTTGCATAGTTCAATCATTCTCTCGTTCTAATCTTCACACTTCAAGAAGATTGGGCATATGATTCAAGACTGCTGGAAGCTGAAAGGCAACAACAAAAACCAGAAGGGTGCCCCTGCTCACCAGCAAGGAGAAGCTCTGGCGTGCAACCAAATAGTGTCACCACTAGCGGTCGCCAGCACGACTCAAGCTCCGGCGCGTGTTTCTGCAAACACAAACGACAAGGGCAAAAGCAAGGTTTTGACTTGCATGGTGCATCCAAGCCGACACTACCGCTTCTTCTGCAAGTGGGAGGAAATGTCCTCACGAACGGCCTGAAGGATCAGTTGAAGATGAGGAAGAAAATGATCCAATGTACGACGAGCTAAGAATCGGACGGATGCAGTTAGACTAGGAAATGCCGCAGTGG